AAAGAAACAGATGCAAGAAATAATTAACTCGGTAAATAACATGAACTTCGGCTGGTTGTGATGGCCCATACCTGTAATCCTAACACTTTGGGAGACTGAGGCAGGCGGATCACTTGAGGCCAAGAGTTCAAGACAAGCTTGGCCAATATATCTACTAAAAATACAAAACAATTAGGCATGGTGGCACACACCTGTAGTTCCAGCTACTCAGGAGGCTGAGGCAGGAGAATCGCTTGAACCTGGGAGCTGCAGGTTGCAGTGAGCCAAGATTGTGCCACTGGGCAACAGAGTGAGACTGTCTTTTTAAAACAAAAAAAGTAGGGGTTCTTTAGTAAGCCACTTGTGAAACTGCTTTTCCTTGGTGGTACCAAGCTAAGTTGCCACAAACTGTTCCTCTAGAGTATATGATGACCATTGAAACCTTGACTTAAGAGTGTGGGGTGGGCTGGGGGCAGTGGATCACTTGAGTCCAGGAGCTCAAGACCAGCCTGGGCAACATGGCGAAACCCTGTCTATTTATTTTTTATTTTTAGATGGAGTTTTGCTCTGTCACCCAGATTGGAGTGCAATGGCACCATCTTGGCTCACTGCAACCTCCGCCTCCCAGGTTCAGACAATTCTCTAGCCTCAGCCTCCTGAGTAGCTGGGATTACAAGCATGCACCATCACACCCGGCTAATTTTATATTTTTAGTAGAGACAGGGTTTCACCATGTTGGTCAGGCTGGTCTCAAACTCCTGACCTCATGTGATCCGCCCGCCTCGGCCTCCCAAAGTGCTGTGATAACAGGTGTGAGCCACTGCGCCTGGCCCCCGTCTCTATTTAAAAAAAGAAAGGGAGGAAAATTAGCTGGGCGTGGTGGCACATGTCTGTAATCCCAGCTACTCAGGAGGCTGAGGCATTAGAATCGCTTGAACCCGGGAGGCAGAGGTTGTGGTGAGCTGAGATCGCGCCATTGCACTCCAGCCTAGGCAACAAGAGTGAAACTCCATCTTATGAATAAAGCGTGTGTTTCCTGGAACTTTGGGGGATCATTATAAAAATACTACGGTAAAAAAGCAACCTTAGTAATCCCAGCATTTTGGGAGGCTGAGGCAGGTGGATCACGAGATCAGGAGTTTGAGACCAGCCTGACCAACATGGTGAAATCCCGTCTCTACTAAAAAAAAAAAAA